GAATCACTGCCTATGTAGATGTTTATTCTAAGTCAGAGCTACTTATTGAGCTACCTGAAAAGATGAAGCATTAGGCAGTGAAACTGATGAGGGCTGGCTGTGCAGAGAAATAGTTCATCCTGTCATTTTTAACCTAAGAGTCCTCCATGTTGTTGATGTTGTTGTTAAGTGCTGTCGAGTCGGTTCTGACTCACAGCAACCCTGCCTAGGATTTCTGAGGAGTGGCTGGTTGGTTTGAACTGCTGACATTGCAGTTCAAGCCAACCTTGCATTCCAGTGCATCATCCTGCAGAGCCACAGTAGGACAGCTGTCCATAAGAAATATTACATCAGGGTTGACAAGAGGAGTAGCTATGGGATCAAACCCAGCCATCCTTCATTCCTGCACCACTCCCAAACAATAATGTTGTTCCTCTTTAACCAGAAGAAGGAGTAAAGTTACATTATTGAGATTTAAATAATATTGAAAACTGATATATGGAGCAACAACAATACAAGAATTTTCTAAGTGGTAAAACAACTGATTGAGGAATGCTCTGTGTTGCCAACACACAATGAGGATCATATTGCATTGTGTGAAATCTGTGTCAGCAGTCTTTTGCTGAAGGAGTAAAGGGTAGATCAGCTACCGTTAGGTCAGGAGAGGGCACTGAGTACACAGGAACTGAGCTATTGAGGACTGCTAGGACATAGTAATATAATTCTATGAAGAACATTTAGTGTAGCAATGCAATTTACATAACCATTCCAACCTAATAAATTAGCTGGAGCAGTAAGATGGTGTGCTCTGCTAATGAACTGACTGAAATTGGTGAAGATGGTGAGACTAGCAAGATTATAGGTTCTTTGGATAACAATTAAACGTCCATTATTTTGTTCAAATTCTGAGGAATAGCTTATGACCAGCAGTGAAGTTTAAGGTAAAAACAGCAACTTCTATGTCCACTAGGAATTTGTAGACTTGCCTTTGATCATTATTAGCTTTTTTTTGATCATCTGACCATAACAATGGAAATAATGTAGTGCCTCTGAGATTCTCTGAGAAGTGTCCTTGTCAGATCTCTACAGCAGTTCATTGGGTCCCTATTTTAGACCCTTTAAAGAACAGTCATTTGTGAGTGTTAGAACTCTATTCATTCTACATACTTTCTAGGATGGTTCTTTCCCTCATTGGCCATAGGAGGAGATGTTAGTTCCTGAGTTAGGTATTTGATTTGAAATAACATACTTTTTGTTGTTTTTACTTTTATCTTCAAATTTGAAGTGGTCACTATAATTCCAAACAATTGTTGGGATAATTCTGAATTTTATTGTATGTGCATATAAATTTGA